GGTCTATTCTCCCTGGAGGGTGATTTTTCACTTTCTCTCTCTGGTGAGTGTGTACACCCTATAGCAAACAAACAAACAAAACAAAACCCGAAGAAAGCAAATAGGTTATGGAATGATATACCACAACAGACTTTTTAAAAAGGGTGTGGCCAATCATATACATGTATGTGTGTGTATGTGTGTTTGAGTGTTTTATATATATGTATATATACACATATGAGTGCATATATATGTGTGTATGAGTGCATATATGTGTGTATGAGTGCATATATGTGTCTATGAGTGTATATATATACACATGTATGAGTGTATATGTATATGTGTGTATATATATGTACATATATATATATATGTGTGTGTGTATGAATGTGTGTGTGTATACACCTTGTAGAATGAAAACCAAAGGTGCAAATCTATGTTCTTTGATGAAGATGATGAATGTAGTGGTTTGGCTATCACACACTGCCTGCATGCTTCAAAAAGGTATATTGTACCCCACAAAGATATACAACAATAAAGTATAAATAAGAAAGTATAAAATAAGTTAAATTTTAAAGAGCCCAAATGTCTCTCCTAGGAAGGTATTAGGCTGGTGGTATACAGCAGCCTCCCCTCACTGGTGTTTATAGAGACACCTGCTGTACACTTTCGCTTTGCCCTAGGTGCCTGACTCTCCCTGAGATCTGCAGCTGGCATTTCTTCCTAGGCAGGATTTAGTGATGACTAAGCAGCAATTTGTTGAGCGTTGTTGTTAACTGGAGCTCTCAGTTTCAAGGTAGAAGAACCAAACTTGAATGAGGTTAAACAAATTGGGATACATTAGGTTTCAGGGGAGGCTCAAAAGAGGTGCTAAAGAATCTAGAGTCAGGAGGAGCACAGGTGGCCTCTAGCATCCTCAGATCAGAGTCCCCTACTCAGTGGTCCTTGGCTGCAGGCAGCTCCAGGCTGACCCTACGCGGCTCCCCCTTGACCAAGAGAACCAAGCTTCCTGGAGACTTTCCATGTTAGTATGTGGTGAGTGAGTCTGGAGCGTGTGCACACCCTCTGTACCACTGGAATGGCCAAGGAGGGAAGACACTCTCATGAACCTGCCATAGGTCCCCTGCCAACACTTCTGGCTGGAGAGTGAGAGATGGGATGGAATCTGCTATCAGAAGAAAGGGAGACGGATGCTAGTAACATTAATAATTAAAACTAATAATGGACTAGATGGTAGCTCTGTGGTAATGCAAGTGGACCCACCTGGGAAAGGTCCTGGGTTCATGTCCCAGGACCTCCCTGGGCACACCAGGTGTGTATGTCTATAATCTGAGCCTAATCCCAGCCTGCAGATCCTATTGGGGTTGCTTGAATCTCTGTGTGTGTCTCTCTCATGGAATGAATGGATGAGTAAACTTTAAAAAAAAAAAAAGAGAAGGAATAATACTAACTCACTTTTGTTTTGTTTTGTTTTATTTATTGAGAGAGAGAGACCTGCCCCTGACAGGGTCTTGCCATACTGTGATCTTTGCCCCAGCTCTCGAGCCAGCCCAGAGGGTGCAGGTTGACCTGGGATCTGAATCCAGGACCTTTGTATCAATACTTGGTCCCAGTATTGCACTGTGGCACCCCACTGCCTGTGACACCATGACTGGGCCACTAACTCATTTTTACCAAGTGCCTACTTCATGCCACATACTGTTCTGGGCTCTTTACCTACAGAACTCTGTTAATATTTACTATCAATCCAATTTAGATACCAGGAAACAGAGGCACAGAAAGGCTAAGCATTTTGCCCAATGTCTTGGAGCCAGTAAGGAGGAGCACTAGGATTGAATCCAAGAAAGGGATCCAGAAGTACTTTTGGCCACCAGTTTAATCAGCCTGGGATTGGAGCCTTGGTTTGCCTGAGTTCTTAACCGCCTCTCTGGGTAGCTTCTCTTGCTCTATCAGAAGCTCCCTGTGTTTGGGGTGAAGAGCAGACCTGGTTCGTCCTCTGAGCCTTCATCTTCTGCACAAAGGGTGAGAGCATGGAGACTTCCACTTGGAACATGCTGCTGTGGGGCCAGCTTTGTGATCTGAGATGGTCTCGGTGTGTCTCCCACTAACTCATACCAACAGGTGTCTAGTGCAGTGAAGGTCCAGATTTATTTATTTTAGTTATTCTTTCATTCAGCTAGTGCAGACACTCCTTTCTTAACAACCAAGTTCCGATCCTTGCCTAGGTCATTAAGTGAATTGGTCAATAAGCAAGGAGCTTAAAGGTGAATGCTTTCTAGTGTGTCAGAGACTGTTGTGTATGTATTTTTAATTGCTATCACACAACACCACACTAGAATAATGTAGTTCTTACCATACAAAAAGCATACATGAAATGAGGACCAGAAAGTGACAAGACACACAACAATTTGATAATAGAAATCCAGTGTAATAATTTTTATTTATTCTACATACTACTAGGAGTATACAATAAAGTGCAAATGAAATATGTGGTCTTGTGTGATTGCACATATTTCATGTAATAAATACAAACTGACTGCAGGAAAGAGACAAAGACTGAGAAAGGGGATTCCCTGTGCTGGAGAACTGGTCATAAGTCTGAGCTGTTGATAAATAAGTAGGTCATTAATTGCGGAATGTCTGTATATATTGAGTACTGAAGGGATGCCAGACCCTGTCTAAGTACTTGGAGTCCTTCAGAGAAAAGCTAGGCTTGGGGAATGACAGAGAGGATGCTCCTCCCAAATTCCTCTCCCTCAGGCTTCTTGTGTCTATCAGGATCCATGACACAATTGAGGTTCATAGGAAACCTTTCCTATATCACCCCAATCAGGCCAACAGAGAGCCAGAGATTCATGCTTCTTTGCTTGGGACTGGTATGATGGCAAATCCAAGGAGAGACAGTGTCTCTTCATTCTGATTGATTATAAAGGGAGATAATTACATCAGGGAATGAGCATGGATGTGAACCCCCAGGACTAAGTATCAAGATTGCTGTGGTGAGTGCTAATCTAGAGTCTAATTGAGGCCCTTGGTTGTGCCATGTCTCAGTTTCTCCATCTGTAGTGTGATACTGTGCTACCTGCCTCCAGGGTTGTTGGGAAGATCATCTCAGGGAGTGTATGCTGACCACGCAACACAATCCTATGCACAGTTGATTTCCTTCCTGTCCTTTAACACTGACTAGTTTTCTAGGTGTCTTTAAACATCAGGGTCTATAGAGTTGAAAGGAATCCTTGAGGAAATCTATTAGATCAAGCCTCTTGTTTTATAGAGGAGGAAACTCTCAAGAGGAAAAGAGGTACTGGGCTCTAGGACTTTATGATTTAGTAGTTTTACAGGCAACTCAACGTGTGTTTGGCAATTGGTCAGACAGAGGGTACAAGTTTGTCCTTTGAGTGGCTGGATCACAGTAGTCTGTCTCTCTGTGAGAATCTGACCAATGGTTAGCCCTGTGGACTGGTGCAGTCATGGCCACCTCCATCCCACCATGTTGAATCTCAAAGAGCCCCCTGATTCCCTGCTGCTGGTCTCAGTAGTAACTCAGGGTGAATAGAGACTTCTATTCTGGAAGTCTAGGAAGTACGAGGAGGTCCCTGCATTCTCAAACTCTGGTTATACCAACAGTGGAATTCTCTACTAGAATGTTTGATTCTCCTACCCACTGTTCTTGGACGCTTCTCTTGAGAAGTGGGAGACAGTTCAATCAAGGCCTCTAGCCTCTCTGATTTTTGGCTTGAGACAGTAGTACAGAGCCTACAGCTCAGGCTGATAGAATGTGGTTGGGGCAGCCCAGCCTGTTTGTCAACTGGCAAGGCCTCAGGAAATGTGGGCTTGATAATGATGATAGTGATGGTCATAGTTGCAGGTTCTGCCCAGGTGACTACCCTCAAAGCTTGCTAGTCTCTCACAATGCCCCTGGGCCCACCACAGCTATACTAACTATTGACATCTGGGCTACCTCACACCTCAGTTTGGTGGAAAATATCATGAGTGCTTGAGTCAGCCAGACCTGGGCACAAATCCTGCCATGTTGTCAGATCTTGGCATCTGCTCTCCAAGCTCTGTTTTCTGTTTGTGAGAAGTCACTGAGATAAAGTGTGTCTCATCCCTAGCAATGATTCTATGCATGACCCGTGCTTAGCAAATAGTAGGTTTTCTCCCGTTAATAGTCTACAAATTTGGAACAGTGAGTGCCATCTCCAGGAGCTCCAGGAACCCTGAACACCCCTCTTTGTATGCTAGAGAGAATATGTGTATGTGTTTAGGTGGACATGCAGGCTTACCAATGTGTTGAGCACAGGATATATACTTCCCTGGAGTATGGGTATTGCCTTTTGTATAGATCTCAAATTTCATATCTGTGTAAGTTTTTATTCTCTTAAACTATGTCTTAAACATTTGGATTTTGTTTGTTTAAATGTGAAAGTAAATTAGTACAAATATTTTGTAACACTGGACTCCATTTTTCAAATAGGCAGAGAGGCATTTTCTGTAGAAGCATCAGGATGTAACCAAATATTGTAGGTAGTCACTGGAAGCCAAAATAGTAATTTGTTTAGCAAATTCAGCCATGATTAGATGGTTGACTTTTATAAACTTTCTAGTTTAGTTAGCATTTCGAACCTTTTCACCTTAGAAAATGTGACCATTTCATATTCCTACTTTGTTATCAAGTTTACATCAGCTTTATTGACTTTCATTATGTTTAGAAATGCTGGCATCTTCTGATTTTATTAAAGCGGCTAAGAAAACATTCCAGGTCCATCTTACCCCCTCAGCAAAGTCTTTGTGCAGAAACGTGATAAGCCCTCGGGGGCCCAGACAGTGGCAGACAATAGGGTTTGTTTAGCAGTCTCACTATTCCTCTCTTCTCATGCAAAACTTGTTAGAGCACAAAGGCAAAGTGTCACATGAGGCAGAGTGTGCAAACATGTGCAACCTCTTGGAAGGGACAAGATCTGAGACTGTGACATAAGATCCTGTAACTGACATTAGTTGTTGGATTTTTCTTTTTAAAGGGTCATGGCAACCTGTGTGTGATTCATCTGGAAGAAGACTATAACCATTGTGATGCCTGAGACTCAAGTAAGTCCCAGTGGTGGATCTCTGTTATGCCATTGAGTAGCTCTTGGGGGATTGGCTTCAGGCTTAGAAATGTAGAGTCACTTGGATTCTTTCTTTGAACTCAAGTGTATATGACCCCATTTGAAGAAATTCTGGTGGGCGAAACTTTCATTTCCCTCCTCAGCCCTCTGTCTGTTGACCTCGAGGGTTGTCCAGCCTTCCCACACTGTTAATCAGGAAGGACTGAGGCTGGGATTTGTTTCAGGATGGGAAAGACCTGTTTAACTCAGTGGTGTTTGGGGGGCTAGATCTCTGTCCCTTCATACTCTAGGAAAGGCCGGCAGCTCAGCTCCTGTGACCCCTTTCTCAGCTCTGAGGATGTTCTAGACTCTTAGTCACTCGGATCTATGCCAAGGCAAGAATCCAGCCAGGTGGTTTCTCTAGGGAGACTTCAGACCCTAGACCACTTGTTCAAGATTTGGAAATGCTGTTGCAGGGTCTTCTCCTGCTTGGATTCCATTCTGAGGAGAACAAGCATGTTTATATCTCTCTATAGAGTCAGAGGCCCATGGAGGCTCAGGGCCTGGGAGACTTTGTGCAGGGAAAAGTCAATGAGAGGCTCATTTTTTCACAGTCACCCTCATGGACTAGATAAGGGCCTTCCCGCTGTTCTCCTGGCTCCACTCTCTGTCCCCTACAAAGCTGCTGGAGACACTTTCCTCAAAGACATGTCTGACTGTCACTCTTCTTCAAGGCCCCTCCAACCCACCTCAGTCTCTCCGTCCAGCCTTGAATTCTCCCTCTTGTCTCTGCCCTGGCTCTAGTTCCACAGTCCTGGAGCAGCTCTCCATGTCCAGACACTCTGTTCTCTCTGAAAAGCTTCCCTACTTCCCCAGGCAATCAGCCCTCAATCCTCTGTCTCCCATGACGCTTCGTTGCCACCTCTGACACACCCTGGCCGAGTTGCCTTACCATCCACTAGCTGTGGGGCCTCGGGTTGAGGAACTGTCCTCCGGTCTCCCTATGGCTCCTGGCAGGCACAGTCCTGGGCACATAGTAGGTGGTGAGCAGTTGTTGTTGGCTCGAGAGTTGAACCCTGAGGTTGGGTTAGGGCCTTTTTTAAAATAATTTTTTGAAAGAATTATTATTTAACTTTATTTATTTGTCTATATTTAACCAGAAAGCGACAGAGAGAGAGAGAGAGAGAGAAAGCAAGCCACCAGGTC